TACCAGCACTGAGGCAGGAGGATCAGGAGTTAAAGAAGTCCACCCTGTGCTACATAGCAATACTGTCTCCAAAAAAAAAAAAAAACCAAGAAACAAAAACAGCCAGGTGCCAATAGCTCACTCTTGTAATCCTAGACTTGGGACACAGAAATCAAGAGGATCACGGTTTGAAGCCAGCCCAGGCAAATAGTTGTGATACCCTATCTCAAAAATACCCAATACAAAAAGGGCTGGTACACTGTTCACAATAGTCAAGTTATGGAAACAGCCAAGATGCCCTACTACTGATGAATGGATCAAGAAAATGTTATATCTATACACAATGGAATTTTATGCAGCCATGAAGAAGAACGAAATGTTATCATTCGCTGGTAAATGGATGGAATTGGAGAACATCATTCTGAGTGAGGTTAGCCTGGCCCAAAAGACCAAAAATCATATGTTCTCCCTCATATGCGGACATTTAGATCAAGGGCAAACACAACAAGGGGATTGGACTTTGAGACATGATAAAAGCAGAGCACACAAGGAGTGTGAGATAGGTAAGACACCTAAAAATTAGCTAGCATTTGTTGCCCTCAATGCAGAGAAACTAAGCAGATACCTTAAAAGCAACTGAGGCCAATAGGAAAGGACCAGGAACTAGAGAAAAGGTTAGATCAAAAAGAATTAACCTAGAAGGTAACACACACGCACAGGAAATTAATGAGTCAACTCCCTGTATAGCTATCCTTATCTCAACCTGCAAAAACCCTTGTTCCTTCCTATTATTGCTTATACTCTCTCTTCAACAAAATTAGAGATAAGGGCAAAATAGTTTCTGCCGGGTATTGAGGGGGTTGGGGGGAGAGGGAGGAGGCAGAGGGGGTAGTAAAGGAGGGGGTGGGGACAGGGGGGAGAAATGACCCAAGCATTTATTATATGAATAATAAAACAAAAATTAAAAAAAAAACAAAAAGGGCTGGTAGAGTGGCTCAGGCAGTAAGAGCACCTGCCTAGCAAATGTGAGACCCTAAGTTGAAATGCCAGTACCATCACCAAAAAAGGCAAAAAAAAAATTCTTTAAAGATAAAATATGTCATAATATGTTTATGACCTTGTGATATGAATTTCAAAAACACAAACCAGAAAGGAAAATCTTAATGTATTTCATTAAAATGTAGAACTATTTTCAGTCAAATTTGTTTAAAAAATATTTTATGTGATAACCCACATAAAACAAAACTAAAAAAGTTGAAGGGCTAGGAATGTATAGCTCAGTGGCAAAGTACTTGCCTAGCATGTGGAAGACCCTGGGTTCCATCCCCAGCACTGAAAAATAAAAACAAAAACTGAGTTTATGTAGCACATTTTTGTGGGGCTGCAGTTTGAATTCAAAGCTTCTCGATTTGCAAAGCAGGGGATCTGCTTGAGCAATAATTCCAGTCCAATGTCACACTTTTTTTTTTTTTCTCCTTTTTTGTACTGGGGTTTGAACTCAGGGCTTCAAACTTGCTGCTAAGCAGGCACTCTTTATCACTTGAGCCATGTCCCCACTCTATGTTGCACATTCTGTACTAGCTTAAATTCCAGATGGATCAAATATTAAATATAAAAGAATTACTGGGTGCTGGTGACTCATGCCTGTAATCCTAGCTACATGGGAGGTTGAGATCAGGAGGATGGTGGTTGAAAGCCAGCCTGGGCACATAGTTTACAAGACCCCATCTCCAAAATAACCAGAGCAAAATGGCCTGGAGGTATGACTCAATCAGTACAGCAGCACCTGTTTTACAAGTGCAAAGCCCTGAATTCAAACCCTAGTCCCACCAAAAAATAAAAGTTAAAAAAGATCATAAAGATACCAGAAGAAACCATGAAAAAAAAAAAAAAAAGCTTGTTAATGCCAGGTGCCAGTGACTCACACCTTTCATAATCCTAGCTACTCAGGAGGCAGAGATCAGGAGAATCATGGTTCAAAGCCAGCCCAGGGAAAGAGTTCAAGATACCCTATCTCGAAAAAACCCATCACAAAAAAGGGCTGGTGAAGTGGCTCAAGATGTACGCCCTGAGTTCAAACCCTAGTACTGCTAAATAAATAAAAACTGTTAATTAAGGGATGGCATGGGAAAGCCTTTGAAAATGTGACAGAATTCTTAGAAACCATAAAAGACTGTAACAACATAAAAAGTAATTTCTGCATATCATTAACCACCAGTGACCTACTGAAGGAAAAACATCTGATTTGTACTACAGACACAGACTTATTTCACTATATTAAGAATTACAAATGAAAAAAAGACTAATAATTCAGTAGAAAAAGAAACAATATCACTAAAAAGGAAATACAGGGTGTGTGTGTGTGTGTGTGTGTGTGTGTGTGTGTGTGTGTGTGGTGGTACTAGGGTTTGAACTTAGAGCCTCATACTTGCTAGGCAGGTATTCTACCACTTGAGCTATTCCACTAGCCCTTTTTTGTGTTAAGTATTTTTAAGATAGAGTCTCACAAACTGTTTGCCTAGACTGGCTTCAAACCATGATCCTCCTGATCTCTCCCTTCTGAGTAGCCAGAATTGCAGGTGTGGACCACCAGCATCCAGCTGAAAATTTAGGGTTTTTTGTTTTTTGTTTTTGGGGTTTTTTTAGTGATACTGAAGTTTGAACTCAGGGCCTCACACTTGCTAGACAGGCATTCTACCACTTGAGCCAGTCCGCCAATTCTAAATTATGCCTTTTTTTTTTTTTTTTTTTTGTGGTACTGGGGATTGAACTCAGGGCCTTATGCATGCAAGGCAAACACTAAACCACTGAGCTATATCCCCAGCCCTGAATGATTCCTTCTAATGAAAACAATTTTTCTTCTATTTAATTGACAAAGTTAAAGTTTAAGGAAACTGTTGAGAAAGGGAAAGGGCAAAAGGTGTTTCATGGGCTACTGATGCACATGTAAATTAGTATATTCTCTTTGAGGCAATTTGGCAGTATTTATCCAAATTCAAAATACAAGTGCCTTGTGATTAGCAGTTTTACAGGAATTTATCTTATAGATGTATTTATATAGGTAAGCTAAAACATTTTACAAGGTTATTCATTGCCATTTATTTATAACAGAAGAGTAAAGCAACCTAAATGTCCATTCAAATGCAGGCACTAAAAAAAATAAAGCGTGGCTGTCTGTGTACTTACATGGAATGATCCAAAATATATGGGTACATGAAAAAAGCAATGTGCAAAAAACATTGTATATTGCCAGCATTAAAAGAATTATAAACGTATTTCCTTATACACGTGTGAAATATCTGTGGAAGATCTTTGGATGTTTCTGAGTAGGGAATGAGAACTCTATTGAACAGTAACAGGAGGAATACTTCATTTTTTGGTATTTTTTACTACCTTTTGAATTTTGGAGTATGACTACGTTACCTATTTGAAAATTTTTTGGGTTTTTTTGGTGGGTCTGGGGTTTGAATTAAGGGCTTAGTACTTGCAAAGTATGTGCTCTTATCACTTGAGCCACACCTCTAGTCCATTTTGTTTTTGTTATTTTAGAAATGGCATTTTGCAAACTATTTGCCTGGACTGACCTCCAAAGTGATCCTTCTGATGTCATTCCCCCACGTAGCTAGGATTACAAGTGTGAGACACCAGCACCTGGATTCAAAAGCATTTTTATATAAAATGTGAACATGTCAGGAATGTTCATTGTGATATCATTTAAGAGTGAAAACGTATCAAAAAACCCAAGATGTCCATCAACAGAATGCATAAATTGTGGTCAAATCATACATTGAAATATTTGATCTCAGTAAAAATGAGTGGATTAACTGGAGCTTGTTGGCTCACATCTTTAATCCTATCACTCAAAGTGGAGGCAGGAGGAGCTCAAGTTTCAGACCAGCCTGGGCTACATAGCAAAACCTTGTCTCAAAAAAAAAAAAAAAAAAAAGCTGGGCACTGGTAGCTAACAGCTGTAATCCTAGCTACTTGGGAGACTGAGATATAGAGAATTATGGTTCAAAACCAGCCCAGGCATATAGTTCAAGAGACCCCCATCTCCAAAATAACCACAGCAAAATGGACTGGGGGTGTGTCTCAAGTGGTACAGCACCGGCTTTGTAAATTCAAAGCCCCAATCCCACCAAAAAAAAAAAATAATAATAGAGTATTCTTTTTCATAGCAACGGAAAATGGAGATAAATCTCAATATAATGTTAAGTGAAAAAAGCTGATCTATACCCCCAGCAAGATTGCCCATCAGCATAAAGTTTGAAAATACATTATGCTTTTCAACTATGATGTTTTATTCTTTAGAAAAGAAAGCTAGAGCTGGGCACAGTAGAGCACACCTGTCATCTCTTGGCAGCCTAAGGCAAATGATCACAAGTTCCAAGCCAGCCTTAGCTACATAGAAAGTCCGATTCAAAAAATAAAAGGGTTGATGGAGGGCACATCTCAAGTGGTATTGCACTTTCACAGCAAATGTGAGGCCCTGAGTTCAACCCCCAGTTCTACAATTAATTAATTAAAAAAAATATATGATGCAAGTAAGACACAAAGTCTTATAAATCCACCGAGCTGGATAGTGCATACAGGAGTTTTGTTAGGTAATCCTTCATACTTTTTTTTTTATTGTTCTACTGGGGGTAGTTGTGACAGTCACAAAATTTCTTACAATATATCATAGTTGAATTCACCCCATCCATCATTTTCCTTTATTTCCCCTCCCCCCATACTTTTTTTTACTATATTAGAAATATTGCATAATATTTTTAAAAATTAAGAAAGTATGTCTTGACCATGATGCTTTTGCAGCTATTGCCCATCCTGAGAGTTCCAATGGCATTATAGGCAATTTCTATAAACTGTTCTGACCCAGTTTTATTTGTCCCATTAGTACCCATAGCACCTTCCAAACTCTCCTAAGAGAAGTCAGAGTGCTGATCAAATGAAGAATACTCAGTATTCTCAGTAGCCAGTAGGCTTTGTCTCATCTATATCTATGTCTTCTTCTTGTTTCCCAGGGATGTTGGTGGTAAACGTGACATGGAGGAATAAGACATATGTAGGTACACTTCTTGACTGCACGCGGCATGATTGGGCACCCCCAAGGTGAGCACTTACAGCTGTCTAGTTTATATTAGCCTGAACCACTTTAATCAGTGAATCCTTATACCTTTATGCTGCTAGAATTGAACCTTTTAAAGGGTATAATGGTATAGAAATGAGAAGACACAGTATCCATCGGACAGTGAATTATGTATTCAAATGTTAGCTGGGAGAGAAGTTAGACTAATGGGGAAGAAATCCTTTTTAGGCCCATGTCTAGAATTATCCAATTGTAGCTTCTTCCTATAATCACCTTGAGACCAAAGCTGTGAAGTCTGTTTGTCTTACTATGAGTGGACAAATATTTATTGATAATGCTTTTGCTCCTCTAGGGGCTGAACTCAGGGCCTGCGCTTGCTAGGCAGGCACTGTACCTCTTGAGCCACTCCACCAGCTCTTTTTGAGTTGGTTATTTTTTTAGATAAGGTCTCACCTTATGCTCAGGTTTTCCTGGACTGCAATCTCCCTATTTATGCTTCTCCATGTAAGCTGGGATGACAAATGTGCACTACCACACTCAGCCATTGGTTAAGATGGGGTCTCTTGAACTTTTTGCCGGGCTGGCCTTGAACTGTGATCCTCTCAATCTCTGCCTACTGAGTAGCTAGGAATATAAGTTTGAGCCACTACACCCACCCTAATGATGCTTTTTAATGATAGCTTATTTCTGAGAAACTTAAAATCAAGAACATTTTTTGTTTTTTTGTGGTACTGGGGCTTGAACTCAGGGCCTACACCTTGAGCCGTTCCAACAGCCCTTTTTTGTGATGGATTTTTCAAGATAGGGCCTCCTGAACTATTTGCCCAGGGCTGGCTTCAAACTGTGATCCTCCTGATCTCTGACTCCTGAATAGCTCAGATTACAGGCATGAGCCACCTGTGCCTGAAGTTCTTGACTCCATATGACATTCTTTTCCTTAGGTGTGATTCTTTTCTGCCTTAGATCTGTGGTTATGTAGTATTTAGAGATACTGGGTTAGGTTTTTAAAGGCTTAGAGCATTATAAGATCATACTCAAACTATCACAGAAATTGCCCTGATGAGAATCAAAAACAGATAGACTAAGACAGATTTATAAAGTTCCTTGGATTTTTCCTTCTAAGAAACCTGTTGGAAGTTTATTTCTGCTTTGAATCTCTTTAGAATGGATAGGTAATGTATTGTTTGAGGCTCCATAAAAGCGGCTTTAGTGTCAGTGAGGAATGAACCCTAGATCCAAATCTCCAAACATTGAAAGAATTATGTACTGTTGGCTATATATTGGATATATTCAGGGACTTCCTAAGAAGATGGGTACTTTGTTCTACCTGTCTATACTTTATTGTAAGATGTGTAAGAAAAAAAAACATTGGGCTGAAAATAGAGTTAGATGCTAGCTATGCATTGCCATTAATCAATAAAGTGACCTTGGGTAAGTCACTTAGCATGCTTGGCCTCCATTTCCTGGGTGAAGCCAGGAACCAGTGGCTCACACCTGTTATTCTAACTACTCAGGAGGCAGACATTAGGAGAATTGCTGTTTGAAGGCAGACTAAGCAAATAGTTCTCAAACCCTATCTCAAAAACACCCAACACAAAAAAGAGCTGGCTGAGGGGTTCAGGTGGCTCAGATGTCTGCCTAGCAAACATAAGGCCCTGAGTTCAAACCCCAGAACCGGAAAAGAAAGAAATGCAGGGCAGATTTTATGGTAGAAATCAGGAGGGTCACGGTTCAAGGCCAGCCCAAACAAAAAGTTAGCAAGACCCTATCATAACAAATAAGCCAGGATGGGGTGGCACATGTCTGTAAATCTTAGCTATGCAGGAGGCAGAGGTTGGAGGATCACAGTCTCAGGAAATGTGAGGCTCTTGTCTAAAAAAAATAACTAAAAGCAAAAAACAGTGTGTGTGTTAGGGGTGGGGGGCATGAGCTGCAAGCATGGCTCAAGTGGTAGAGCACCTGCCTAGTAAGTGCAAGGCTCTGAATTCAAACTCCAGTACCACCCAAAAAAAAAAAAAGAAATGCAAACATAACTGCTCTTTGCCTGATATAACAAACTCTACTTGAATTTAGAAATAAATTTAGGGGAAAACTTAACAACTGGCATGCCACTAGCACCTGAGTAACTCACCATGTAATGCAGTTCCCTTACAATCAGTCAGAAGTTCTTTTAACAAATCAGATTCGTTGAAAGTGATAATCAGTCACCAACTGGAAGGTTCTTCTGAAGGCTACAGCTAAATTGGTTTAAAGATGTTTTCTTAATAATAGCCTGTTGTGTATTTCCTTTGCCAAGGTTCTGTGACTCACCCACCAGTGACTTGGAAATGCGAAATGGCCGAGGTAGAGGCAAACGCATGCGTCCCAATACTAACACACCTGTCAATGAAACAGCCACAACCTCTGACAGCAAAGGGACCAGCAGCAGCAGCAAAACCCGGGCAGGAGCCAATAGCAAAGGCCGTCGGGGCAGCCAAAATTCTTCAGAGCATCGCCCACCTGCCACTAACACCTGTGAGGATGTCAAAGCTAGCCCTTCCTCAGCTAATAAGCGGAAAAACAAACCCCTTTCAGACATGGAGCTAAATTCTAGCTCAGAAGACTCCAAAGGGAGCAAGCGTGTTCGCACGAATTCCATGGGCTCAGCCACTGGCCCCCTCCCTGTGACCAAGGTAGAACCCACGGTTTCTGGACAGGAATTGTCCCTCCCCAGTCCTGATTGACTGTCCTCACCCAAACTGCAACAAGAAGTATAAGCACATCAATGGACTTAAGTACCACCAAGCTCATGCCCACACAGACGATGACAGCAAGCCAGAAGCAGATGGGGACAGTGAGTATGGAGAGGAACCCACCCTCCATGCAGACCTTGGGAACTGTAATGGTGCACCTATCTCACAGAAAGGATCCTTATCCCCTGCCCGCTCAGCTACCCCCAAAGTTCGGCTCATAGAGCCTCATAGCCCTTCTCCTTCAAGCAAATTCAGCACAAAAGGCCTCTGTAAGAAAAAGTTGAGTGGGGAAGGAGACACAGACCTTGGGGCCTTATCCAATGATGGCTCTGATGATGGACCCTCAGTAATGGATGAAACAAGCAATGATGCCTTTGATTCTTTGGAAAGGAAGTGTATGGAAAAAGAAAAATGTAAAAAGCCCTCTAGTTTGAAACCTGAAAAGATTCCTTCCAAGAGCTTAAAGTCAGCCCGGCCCATCGCCCCTGCCATCCCCCCACAGCAAATCTACACTTTTCAGACAGCCACCTTCACAGCAGCAAGCCCAGGCGCCTCCTCAGGCTTGACCACAGTGGTCCAAGCCATGCCCAACAGTCCTCAACTCAAGCCTATTCAACCCAAACCCACTGTTATGGGAGAGCCTTTCACAGTTAACCCTGCATTGACTCCAGCCAAGGATAAGAAAAAGAAAGAAAAAAAAAAGAAGGAATCTTCAAAGGAACTTGAAAACCCTCTGACCCCTGGGAAGGTATGTCGAGTAGAGGAAGGCAAAAGCCCGTTCAGGGAATCATCAGGAGATGGGATAAAAATGGAGGGGCTCCTGAATGGCTCCTCAGACCCCCACCAAAGCCGACTTGCTAGCATCAAGGCTGAAGCTGATAAGATCTACAGCTTCACGGACAATGCCCCCAGCCCTTCAATTGGAGGCAGCAGCCGCCTAGATAGCACTACCCCGACCCAGCCTCTGACTCCCTTACATGTAGTGTCCCAGAATGGAGCTGAAGCCAGCTCAGTCAAAACCAATAGCCCTGCCTACTCTGACATCTCTGATGCTGGAGAGGATGGAGAGGGCAAGCTAGACAGTGTCAAATCAAAGGACCCTGAACAGTTGGTTAAGGAAGGGGCTAAGAAAACTCTTTTTCCCCCTCAGTCACAGAGCAAAGACTCACCATATTACCAAGGCTTTGAGAGTTACTACTCTCCAAGTTATGCACAGTCTAGCCCAGGAGCTCTAAATTCCAGCAGCCAAGTAGGAGTAGAGAGCCAGGCCCTAAAAACAAAAAAGGATGAGGAGCCTGAGAGCATGGAGGGGAAAATGAAGAATGATGTCTGTGAGGAAAAGAAACCTGAGCTGAGCAGTTCCAGTCAGCAGCCCTCCGTTATCCAGCAGCGGCCCAACATGTACATGCAGTCCCTATACTATAACCAGTATGCCTATGTGCCCCCATATGGCTACAGTGACCAGAGTTACCACACCCACCTCTTGAGCACTAACACAGCTTACAGGCAGCAGTATGAAGAACAGCAGAAGCGTCAGAGCTTGGAGCAGCAGCAGCGAGGATTGGACAAGAAGGTAGAGATGGGCCTGAAGGAGCGGGAGACAGCACTCAAGGAAGAGTGGAAGCAAAAGCCATCAGTTCCACCAACTCTTACCAAGGCTCCCAGCCTGACAGACCTGGTGAAGTCAGGACCTAGCAAAGCCAAGGACCCAGGGGCTGACCCTGCCAAGTCAGTCATCATTCCCAAGTTAGATGACGCTTCAAAACTCTCCAGCCAGACCCCTGAAGGCCTTAAAGTGAAGCTGAGTGAAGCCAGCCACCTAGGCAAAGAGGCTTCTGAGGCTAAGACAGGCACTGAGTGTGGCCGACAGGCAGAAGTGGATCCAGTACTCTGGTACCGACAGGTAACTTTTGCTATGATGGAGTGGAAATGTTGTCTGATAAACTCGTCTCCCTCACAAGTCAGGGCGATCCTAATGTAGGGGTTCCACAGAATCAAGATTAATAGGAAAGTCATACAATTTTAGGAATTTTTTACCTTTGTAAACCATTTTAATGTTTTTTTAAAAGTACTTTTAACTCCGTAAAACTTTTTTTTTCTCCCTTTTACAGATAAGGAAGAGCCAGATAAGTTAGCTTAATTTGTCTAAGGTTAATTGTACCTTCCCTAGTACCACCAAAACTAGAAACTAGGTATCTTGAGTCCTAGTTCAATGTCCTATTCACTCTTTGGTTCCTGTGGAATGAGTTAGTAGTAATCTCTCCATTTTTGTAGAGTGGGTCAAAAATACACTAAGTTACTGAGTTTCTTTAAAAAAGATTTTAGTGTTAAACTGAGAACTTGGAGTCTTACATCTTGTTCTGCTCATTAGACTTAGAATGTCTTCCCATTTGGTGCCCCAGTTATACCCACCTCTGACCTAGGCCGCCATGATAGCCTGAGCTTGATCTGAAGAAGTGAAGCAATCTAAACATCTTGAAGGAGGCAACCTCTTCTATTCTAGGAGTCATTGCCCCAGAATGCTTGTTCTTGCCTAGAGAACAGCCACTGAATGGATTTTTCTTTTCTCTCTTGGGTGGGAGAACTTTTTAAGCAAGAGAGAACAAAGTTGGATTGTAAGCAAAGATCAGTAGAAGCCAATATCCTATTTTTCTCCAGGTGTCTAGTAATTGTCTACTCTAGGGTTTCCACTGGGACCTTAGACTTGAAATATATCTCTGTCTTTTGTGTACAACACTTAGCACTCATTATATTATTGTTGTAGGAGGCAGAGCCCCGGATGTGGACATATGTTTATCCTGCCAAGTACTCAGACATCAAGTCAGAGGATGAACGGTGGAAAGAGGAGCGGGACCGCAAATTGAAAGAGGAAAGGAGTCGGAGTAAGGACTCTGTCCCCAAGGAGGATGGGAAGGAAAGCACAAGTAGTGACTGCAAGCTGCCCACGTCTGAGGAGTCCCGCCTTGGGAACAAGGAACCCCGACCAAGTGTCCATGTGCCTGTGTCTTCCCCACTCACCCAACACCAGTCCTACATCCCCTACATGCACGGCTATTCCTACAGCCAGTCCTATGACCCCAACCACCCCAGCTACCGGGGCATGCCTGCTGTGATGATGCAGAACTACCCAGGTACAGCACCTAGTGCCATGCTGCTCCATTCACTGGGAAGGGAAACGAAGCATAGATAAATCCAGAGTTTTGTTGCTCAATGGGGTTGGCTTGAATGACAGCCCTTTTTTTGAATGTATGATGCTGTGAAGTGTCCACTGTACCTAATAGCTCCTTAAATGACCCCTAATTACATCTGAGGGACCTCATCTCCCTCCCTTGCTTCAGCTACAGAGCTGCCTTTACTGTCAATTTTCCTTGTTAATTAAAGGTAAAACTCCCTCCCTATCATTACCATCTCTTAGCCGAAATTTTCTTTAGACCTATACTCTAAAGTTTGCACTGTGGGGATACAAAAAGAGTAGAGACTAGTTCCCTCCACTGAAGGACCTTATGAGTTAATTATAGCAGGATGAGACATATGGAACAAATAAAATTCAAACCATAACAATGCATGAATTTAGCTACAAGAGCAGCTGCAGGCAAGAATGGGAAGGGCAATTTTAAGTCGGACTGGGGGATGTCCAACTAGATTCAGATAGGGAAAGATTAGTTCTTCATACTGTCGTCAGTGAATTCTAGTCAGGGCACAAAGACAAAGGTTAAAATTTTTTTAAGAACAAAATGCTCTTATTCAACTCCATTCACTGATTTCTGTTGCCCAGAGAGCCATGTGGGATTCTTCTGGGATATAAGAGCAACTTGTTTTATTTATTTAATTTTGACTAACATGCAATAATAATACTTAGTTTTTTGTTTGTTGTTTCAGTGATACTAGGGCTTGAACTCAAGGTCTCATGCTTGCTAGGTTTGCTAGGCAAGTACTCTACTACTTGAGTCACTCCACCACCCCATACTTAGTTGGTATAATGTGATGTTTCATCACATGTATACAGCATGCACTAATCAAATCAGAGTAAATAGCATTTCTGTCATTTCTTTGTATTTGGAGCCTTTGAGCTCCTCTACATCCTGATCTTCATAAAATATATAGTAATTTATTATGAACTATAGTCACCCCATTGTGATATGGAACACTAGATGTGCTTGAATACTATTTATCCAACCTCCCATTTTCCTTCTCCTCCCTACCCTTCTCAGCCTCTAATAGTCACTTGTCTATATTCAGATCAATTTGGGCATTTCTTAACTTACTCCTTAGAGCTCCCAACCTCCGGTAGCCCTAAATAGTCTTTTTATGTTCTAGTGATGTTGTTATAAGACAAACTCTAAAGGTAGGACAAGTAAGTGTTTCAAACATGTATAAGAAATTGTCTCACACTTGAGGTGTTCCTTATTCCTTGTCACCCATACCTGTCTGTATAAAAATAATAGTTCTATTTATTGAGGATTTGCTCTGGTCCAGTCATTATCTTGGGTGATTTATGCACAATATCTTCTTTTTGATAATATCTTTTTTTTGTGTAGCCCAGAGTGGCCATAAACTCATGATCCTCCTGTCACAAGTGATGGGACTATAGGAGTGTTATCACAAGACCTGGCTTCACATAATCTTTTATTTAATCCTTATTGCTCTATGAAATAAATTTTGATAACTTCAATTTGAAGATAAAGAAACTAGAACTCAAAAATATTAATTTTCTCAATTAGCCAGCTATTAAATCTCAAGGTTTGTTTGAGCCTAAGACTTTGTTTTGTTGTTTTTTAACCCCAGAATCTCAGGCCTTCAAGGCAAATTCTCTACCACTTGAGCCACAACCCCAGACTGCCATCTGACAGTGATGGCAGTCCTATGATCTTTTCCATTTACATCACCTCTTCCAAATGAATCTGACTACTTCAAAGAACCGTAACAGATCTGGAGAAGTCAGCTCCAGGAAACTGAGGGCCTTGTTACTTATATCCCTTTATTCATTTTTCCTGTAGATCTCTGTAAAGAAAGGACAACCAAATAGTCTCATCCCAAAGACATGATGGTAGAAAATACCTTAGCCTGTGCCTAGGATAGTTAATGCCCATCTGATCAAGCTTACTAAAGCAGAAGAATCTGCCACTCTCATTTCTTTGCTTGATTTCTCCTTCCCTAGGTTCCTACTTGCCTTCCAGCTACTCTTTCTCCCCATATGGCAGCAAGGTCTCAGGTGGTGAAGATGTCGACAAGGCACGAGCCAGCCCCAGTGTCAGTTGTAAATCCAGCTCAGAGTCCAAAGCCCTGGACATCTTGCAGCAGCATGCCAGTCACTACAAGAGCAAGTCTCCAACGGTAAGAAAAGTACACAACTGTGGCTGTTGTTCCCAGTAAGGCCAGATCCAGGGTCTTGGAGAAGATATAATTTTAGGTCCTAACCATAGTTCAGCTTGCTGACTTAGCATTATTTGTAGGTATCCTGCATTTTTAGGGAATCATAATATGGGCCCCTGACTGTATCACCCATATGTATATGTCTCACTGTAGTGCTTTTCTGTATCTCCTTTCCTTTCCAGATAAGTGATAAAACTTCTCAGGAGAGAGATCGGGGAAGCTGTGGGGTGGTTGGGGGTGGTGGCAGCTGTAGCAGCATAGGGGGGTCAAGTGGGGGTGAACGGAGTGTCGACCGGCCCCGCACCTCCCCTTCCCAACGCCTGATGTCCACACATCACCACCACCACCACTTGGGGTACTCATTACTCCCAGCACAGTACAACCTACCCTATGCAGCAGGTAAGCCTATTGTTCTTATCACTTTTTGTGTGTGTATGTGGTTTCCATCCTAGTAATAATAACTCTAGCAAGGCCCTCTGCCCAACAACAATCTTTTTTTCTTTTTTTTTTTTTTCTCAAGCTTCTAATCTGTTCAGAGTCCTAGCTTCCTGTAGATAGCCATTAAAGCATATGACATTTATTTCCTCCCTGGGAGCTTGTGGACTCACAAACTCCTCCAGAATGTTGGTTTAGATATTCAGAAGAGTAAGGAGCAGGTGTTCCCATAGCCAGACAGAGACAAGCACTCCTCAGCCACTATATCTGGCCATGTATCAGTTTTTTTCTTTTTTTTTCCTATTAATAACCCAAAACTCAGTGGAGCTAAGATTTTTGAGCGGAAACTCCTCCCTATACAGCCTGCTGGTGACAGGAAAGTGTGAAGAGACATTTCTGACTATTACACTAACATGTCCTCCTGCTCACTCAGGGCTTTCTTCTACAGCCATTGTTGCCAGTCAGCAAGGCTCAACTCCCTCACTCTATCCACCCCCCAGGAGGTGAGAATGGTAAGTAACTTTTGTTAATTTGGGGCAACAAATTAAAAGGTATAGCTGCTACCTGGATCACAGAATCCCTGTTAAGCCAGGTGAGGGATAATTGTGTGGGGTCAACGGCCTGAAAACCTGAAAATGGTGAAACAGTGGCCAGCCTCTTGTACAGAAGTGTCCAGTGAAGATGTTTTCATCTGAGAGGACCTGTGGAGAGACCAGTACAGGCCTTCCAAACAGTTCCTTTTTCTTAGAGTGCCATCTTGTGGTTGTTATATCTGATTACCTGCCCCATGTTTCCCTTGCAGAACACCAAGTGCTGGGATAGTCAGCTTCATGGGCCAGAGTGGCTCACCCAAGGAGGTGCTGGTGTTGCCATTTAGACATCATTTAAATGGTGTTGATCATCTCGTTTGCTGATCCTACCATGGCTGAAGGCAGACCCTTGGCTATCTAGCCTCTACAAGATCCCTGGACTCCCTGACCCTCCTTCCTCAGGAGCTGGAGAGCTGGTACTTGGCAAAAATATTTATTCTCTCAGCCACAATCATGACTGTTGTGGCCTCTGTGGAGATGAAAGCATGGGGAGCAACCAGGGAAACACAGTCTAAGCCCAGAGGAGTCACTGCTCTGTTCCCCAGCCCCTTGGTCTGCTGCCAGAGCAGTACCACCACCCACTCCACCCCCAGAAGGGACCCCCAAGCACTGAAGACAGCACAGCAGCCATACCCTTCTCACCATCATTACCACCATCACCAGATTCTGCATCTCCCCAGCGGTTTGGGCCTGGGAACTGGCAGCATGTGGAGGAATTAGAATCTCAGGAAAGAAATTGGGGGCCATTTTCTCTGTAATTTTGAAGATAAGGTCTTTAAACATGGAGACATCCCCCCTCTAACATGAGCACAGATAAATGCTCGGAGCCTGGCCTGGAAAGGAAGTCCAAGGCCACTGTGGCCTTGAGCTGCCTGTCAGGCAGAGGATAAGGGTTCCACCTCCAGCACAGGGCTCCCCAGGGATGCGGGAGGGAGCCAGAGCTGGAATATGGAGTGCGTAAAATTGAACCTGCTTCCCCACTAAGTCCTGCTGCTTCTGACCTCTCAACTCCTTGCCCTTTTCTCTTCCCTCCCTAACCCCTTGATGCTTTTCCAGGGGGATGCCCACACTCATCTTTTCTTTTCCAGTGCTTGGTTCTTAAGACTCAGGCAGAAAAAGTAAAATTTCCCCCTGCATGGGGAACCTTGGAGTCTGCCAGGTCACTTTAGGGCAAGTCCCAGAAGTCAGGCTCTGGGAGCACCCAGTAGTTCTTGGAGATGTCCTGTCTATTCAGCCATCTGAGTATCTTCCTCATTAAGGCCCATAAATGTATGCAGCCCAGTTCTTCTGTCTTCATGGTTTTATATAGTTCAATATATAACCTCCATATGTGCCAATATAAGCTGTGTGTCTTTGCAGCACACATTTTTGTTTTAGGGGCCACTGGCCATGGGAGGTTATTTGTTCCTCAGACTCTGGGATAACACATCCAAGCATTACTCATTACTGGAGCTCAGAGTGAACTCAGTGGGGCTGTATTTTGAGGTAGCAGACAATTCTTCGCTGTCCTTAGAAATGCAGTCTCCCTTGATCCAATCTATAAAGCTCTGTGTACTGGGAAAGTGATGATTTGGTAGCTCTATTGGAGTCACTTCCTCCCAAGGTGTGGGAAGCTTTAGCTCTGCTTTTGTGATGTGTCATCCCTTTGTTCTCCTTCCCTATCTTTCTTTGATCCTTTGGATTGTCAACTGTAAAAATTGTCAGACACTAGCATAGACTGGAGAAGGGTATTTGTAACCAGAATGCCAAAAGTGACCATTTATGAGCAGGAAGGTGGTTCTGACTTCTCCTGGAGAATGGGGACGAGGGGGACAGTAAGCACAATGCCCAGTAGAGGGTGGTTTCCAAAAATCCCTAAAGCCCTACACATACGTAGGCTTTGGGTCATTTGTCCAAGAGGAGCCCCTCTGATCCACAAATTTTCCCTGTAGGTTTCCATGTCCTTGTTTTTGTTTAAGTTGGATTCTGAACTCTCCCCTAAATTCCATTGTTTTAGACCCATTGGCAGGGCCCTACGCAGCCTCCCTAATCACCATCATTCCTTCTGCCTCCTGCTGCCCTAGTGGGCAGTGTGCTTTGAGTAGTAACTTCCCCTTTCGTCCATGGAAGTAGCTGGTGTGGACACCTTCACCTCACCTAACCCAACTCACCCCTACCAAGAGGGTGACTGAATTTCAGCCTGATTGTGTCCTCCCAGACTCCTGTGGAATGGAGCCAAGCGCCCATTTCTGTTCCTGTTTGTTTTTAAATGTTGTTGTGTGTTTTTTATCTGTAGTGCTGGCCTGCAGCAAGCTCTGTACATATTGTAAAGAAACCACTGGAGTAATTTTCTTTCTCATTGGGCATGCATGGCCCCACATTCCTGCTCTTCCCACTTTGTTCTGTAGCATAGAGGAGGAACTCCTGTATTGGCAGGACAGCCTTGGGTTCTGCAGAAGGGAACAGCTGGGTTGTTTTTTTTTTTTTCTTAAAAGACATTTTGGCTCTTTAATCCTTATATTCTAAGTCTCCCTTGAAGAATAGGAGCTGCCCAGATGAGCAATGATGGCAGAATGGCACTGCCTTCAGCCCTGATCCTCCTGGTCCCTAATCCTTAGCAGGTACAGTCTTCCCTCCCTGAAATAGCATGAAGCAGCAGCAGCTGTAGAGATCCTTAACAAGGACTGAGTGAAAGATTTGATATCCACCTCAGCCTCTCTGTATAGGGAGGAAAAATACAGTTATTGGATGCCCATGATCAAGTCAACAGGACGAGAGGTTCAGCAAGGTTCCCCACCCCAAACCAAACGCTGCTGCTAAGGGCCCAAACCACCAAACCAAATCTCTCCTTGAGTCATCTAGTAGAGAAGCTAAGCCAAGAGGGCCTCATCCTCTGGTAGGGTAGCCATGGCTTGAGAGCTGCCCTTTAGGATTTACATCTGCTTTTTCCTCATTTATGCTGCGCCTGTCTTCATCCCCTTCCCCTATATTATACATGTATATGCACATGTATAAAGTTTCCTTCTCTTACTTCCCATTCTCCACATACCTGAAGGTCAAAGAATCACATGCAGAAGGGTAAGAAGGCACCCTATGAAATCAAATGGTCATTTCTTTAATCTCCTCTCCAGGCTCCAGGATGGGGATGGGAGGACTTGAGAGTTAGGGGCTAAGACTCCAGAAGGGCTAGAGAGTTATATACAGGCTGTGAGGCCCCTTTGTGTCACTTACTACCCCATAGACCCTATCACCATCCCACTGTCTACTTTGATGCCCCCATGATTCAACTGGGCAGCTAGTTGGCCCCATAATCCTGGGCCTTTGTCATTTGTTTTATTTCCAGTGATCCCCTGCCATGGGCCCTCCTGGGATCAAACCTCTCCCAGGCCCTGTCCCCAGCCCCTCCTGCCCCAGCCCACCCGCTTGCCTTGGTGCTCAGCCCTCCCGCTGGGAGCAGGTTGGGGCAAGCTGGAGGCCCGGGCTGGAGGGGCAGTGTTGCTGTTCATAGCTTTTGTTCCATTGGCGTTGCTCTGTTCGATTTAATTTCAGTCTTCCTGATTCTTCCCTTCTGTAAAGTGTACATTACCAAGTTCCTTGTTTTTATATATATATATACATATATGTATATGTGTATATATATATATTATAACATATACATATATGTATATATATACACACAACACACACACACACACACACACACAAACTGTACTCTTTTTGCCTTTGTACACTCAGGCAAGAAGAGAAAATAAATCTTTTTAAGAGACAATCACAAATCTGTGAGGGCTGCTGGTTATTTCTCCTGGAGTTTGCTGCTGAGCTGCCTCCTCCTTTCTCCCACCTTTTCTATTCTCCTTCAGCTTTCCAAATCTTCCTGGTCCTGCTCCATATGCATCTTTAGCTTCACCTTCCCTGGCTGGCAGCAATCTGTTGAATCCAGTGTCTAGACTACCTGCCCTATAGCCCTTCCCTGCCCAGCATTGTTTTCTGACTTGGCCACTGGATTAGCCCAGAAGCTTCATCCTATGCCCTGGCCTCCCCTCTTCATCCTTAGATCCCATTCACCGAAGTGGCTTTGTACCCCTGGGTACTCTGGGATCTATCTCCTAGAGGCCCTGGCTTTGGACATTCACCTGTGAAACTATGCAGCTGGGAGCTCTCCAAGAGTTTGCACGATTTAAATCTGCTTAGGAGTTGGGATGAATTTTTTTTAGGAATGAGTGAGAGACTACCCCCAGCAGTCCATACACCCCCAATCTGACCCATCCCAGCCTCCAAAATGCACTGATCCAGAACCCAGAGGATTATTCTTGGCTGGTGGATTCCTGTGGTTACCCCATCAGAACAAGGGCTAAGGGCTTATGGGTCAAGAGCATTTGATCAGAACTTCAAAGGGTGGTACCTTCTGAAACACAGCCCAACCAAACTATTGTCCTACCTTTTTTTCCTTTCCTCTACCTTCTCCTTCCCTTTTTTCCCCTTTGTTCTACTTCCTTTTCTTAATTGGCTTTGGAATTGAAGTATATTTTTAAATTATTTGTTGTATTTATTGAATAAAGTTTTTAATGTCCCTGTTCTTAAATTTAGACTTAGTTTGCCTTTCACATATCTTCCCCCATCCTTCTCCATCCCTAAAAATATTCTACCTTCTCAGTTGCTTTTTTAACTAAACTGCAACCTTTGGGTGTCATATTTCTTTCCAGTGAATGGTCTTCAGTAGCCTAAGTTTTTTTTGAAAGGGAAATCTTGACTGGGTACCTGAGTTTTTTTAGTTCAGCCCTTCTAACTCTGGCTGTGTTGAGCAGGAACCACCAACAGTAGCAGCAGAGTCTCAAGCATGTTTCCCATCATCTGCCAGCCAGCTTTGGGGAAAGTAAAGGGCTAAGTTTTGTCTTTTTTAAAAATCCCTGTCTACCTGTATATTCCTTGGGTTTTACATCTGAATCCTGACCTGCCTACTACAGAGAACTTGGCCACTGTATCTGCCCTACCACTACAGTCTCTTTTCCAAGAGAAGCATGTATCATACCCATAATTAAGTTAAGCTCTAGTAGTGATAGGTAGTTGGTCCTGGTACAGGAATAAAGAACAGACCAACCACAACTTTAAATCAGTTTATTGACACAGAAACACAAACACACGTGCCTCAATGACACCCCAACTCCCTTCACCCAATCTAGATCTCTTCCCCTTTTCTTTCTCCTTACAATATGCTGCTCAGTGAAAACAGAAAAGGGCAGGCCACTTCTACACCACCACCCCCAATCCCACCCTGCAGAACAGTCTCAAGCACTGCTCAGACCTGTTGGGGGAGGCAGTCAGCACTATACTTGGTCAGCCAGAGGCATTCAGTCCCTAAGGACAGAATCCCCCACTATTACCAGGCCCTGAGTTGCTATTCTTCCCCTCTGCTCTTCATGACCTTAGTAAGGAGACTTTGGGGCCTGGGCCTCAGGAGCAAGAACTCCTAGCAATAAATCTGAGAAGTGGAGTTTGGCTAGTGTTTCTTAAGACCCAGGTACCCCCAAAAAACCCTGGTGGTGGGAGTGAACTTCAATGCCCCTATTTAAAATGCACTAATAACATTAAGACAGATTAAGCCAGTTTAACCAAATGTCAGAATAACACTAAGCTGTAAAAAAGGAGAGGGTCAGACCTGCTTATTGTGGGCCAGACACAGATGCACACAAAGAAGCCCAAGTGGAGTGTTAAAAAATAACCCAATGACACTTGCCCAGGAACTGAAAAGCCTATACTTGGGAGCCCCTAGGGTGACGAAGCAAAGAAAATATTTAAGTCTTAAAAACCAATCAAGAAAGCCCATCAGCAAGGAGACCGGAGCATGATAGTGCTGCCCACTAGCCCTCCAAGGCCTTGCCCCTAGACCCAGATAGTTCCTTCTAGGCAATGTCCTCCCCTAGGCTAGACAGAGCACATCACACAGCGCAATTTAAAAAGCTTCTAATGCCAGTTCATAAACATCATCTTCATTTACTATTGGTGATTACATGTGAATAATATGTTTATACTGTTCTTTATGGAAAACAATTTCAACAAGTCAACTCCAAGAACACAATAGGCAACCCTCACCCTGAGCCCCTCAGTGTCCTTCCCTAGACAGTGAGAAACCCTCTCCTTTGTCCCAGGGCTGCCTAACTTCCCCTCTTTCCCCACTGTGGCTCTTGGACAAAGCATCCTCTATGACCATTAGTCCTCATCGGACAAGTTCTGGTCCAGGGGGTAAACCATGAACATCACATCTGGCCGAGAGGGGACACAGGGATGACCTGGACGCACAATCTCAAAGCCCAAGAAGCTGAAGGTCTTCAGGAGTGGAGCTGTGGAAGATAGAGCATGAAAAGAACTCTGATGAGAAACACCAGGGTAACTCAAAGGGAAAACTTGAGACAAAGATTCAACAAACAAGCATTAGGCCCTTGGGCATCTCACTTCTCCATGGATTTCCCAGAGTTTGTAAGCCAAGTCAAGAGGAACCCTTCAGCTAGGTACCATGGCTCACAGCTATAATCCTAGCTACTCAGGAGGCAATGATCAGAAGGATTGGCGTAGTTCAAAGCCAGCTTGGATAAAAAACTCAAGAAACTTCATCTCAACCAGTAAAAAAGCTGGGCACAGTGGCATGTACCTGTCATCCCAGTGAAATGGGAAAGTAGAAATAGGATCATAGTCTAGGCCTGCCTGGACATAAACAGGCAAGACTATTCAAAAAATACCCGCCCCAAAAAAGGTTTGGGGCATGGCTCAAGTGGCAGAGTGAAAGGCCCTGAGTTCAAGTCCTAATACCACTGTACACACACAGAAAAATACCTTCCCTTACCATGTGGGAGCCATCTACCTTCCTCCCCAGCCCCACTAGGTCTTCAGGCTGTTTTGATGACTCACCTCTGTCTTCCCGGCCCTTCCTGAAGCAGATGAAGACATAGTTCACTTTCATCTTCTCTTCAGCAAACTCTAGCAGTGCTAACAATCTGTAAGAAGCAAAGAAAACTACTCAGGTCCACCACCACCTCCACAGACCTCACTCTTCACTTCCCCTCCTCAACCCCCATTAAAAAAAAAAAAAAAAAAGCTTTCTGAGCCTAACAGCCTAAGGTACAATAAGGAATTTTCAAGGATAAGGTTCTCATTTCAAGAGCCCAGAGTTCAGAAAAATACAAGCACAACCCCTGAGAAAAATGTTACTGAATAATCTCTTCATATAACAGGTCATCTGAATGTAATACTAGCCGTCTTAATTAATGCAGTTCACAAGACAAGAGTCTGAGGCCTTAGAAAGAGAACTTGCATCTTCAGTGATCACTGCCACTGAGAGGAAAACTCAACCCTGACACTGACTAAAGTGGTTTCCTCAAGATGAGCCTGCTGTGTGCAGGTGGCTCATGCCTATAATCCTGGCTATTTAGGAGGCTGAGATAAGGACAATCTCAGTTCGAGGGACAGCCAGGGCAAACAGTTTTGTGAGACCCCCCCCATCTCCAGAATAACCACAGCAAAATGAACTAGAGACATGGCTCAAGCAGTAGAAAGCACCTATTTGGCAAACATAAAGCCCTGAATTCAAACCCGTCCTACCAAAAAAAAAAAAATGTTGGGCCACTCAAAAACTTCTGTCCTCAGGACTGCTTCTCACACATGGGCTGCTTGGAGAGCCTTGCCCAATCCAATGAAATCCAACTGTACCTACCACTGTACCTTCCTGGCTCAAGGAGGTCTTGATGTCTGGGAGTCATGAACCAAGGGGTGAAGAACTGTTAGGCATTTGGTTAATGTGATAATGATCTACTTTAATTATAACCTGGAGCAGGCCTGTTTTATTGACTAAAAATAACTTGTTACAAAATGGGATCTGCTTGGCAAGTCTAGAGCTATGGGAGAAGTTACAGACTCCCTACAAATCTGTTCTCCCTAACAGATTCCCCAACACTCTCTGCAAGTGAATGTCCTTCCTCACTTGCTTTCCCTTCCCCAGCACTTTCTCCTTACCCTTCTTTGCTCCCATCAGCTAATAATCCATCTGGGATTTCTACAAACAGGCTCTGGCTGGACAGGACTGCATCCCAGGAAGAGACCTTCACCTCAGTGACCTCATACTGGAAGTGGACGATGTGAGGTTTTCCATCGTTCACAGGGAGGTCCTGGGTCACAGTGAGCTTGTCGTCCTGGGAAGGAAAGCAGGGCAGAAGACCAGATCACTGATGCTTCTGGCTACATCATATGCTCCCCCGGTGGTACTGGGCATTGCTTGGATCAAACTCAAGGTAGCATGGATCAGAGGGCATACTGGAAATACAGACCTGCATGCTGGCTAACTGGAGCCATTTCTAAGACCAGCTGATGCTGAGAAAAGCCAGAATGAGATAAGGGAATTATTTACCAAGTATCCAGCACTAGGTGCCAAGTACTGTGCAAGGTACGTCCCATGTATTACTGCAGTTACCATGATAGGCACTTGAGACAGGCATTAGTATCTCCCTTTTAAATCTAAGGATGTAGTTCAGGCTTGGGATGTATACAGTTCAGTGGTTGAGTGTTTGCCTATCATGCACCTGGTTTCAATCCCCAGTACCACAAAATAAGGCTCATGAAAACAGTGCTTGGGCCTGCTTTGCAAAAAAGACCTGAGTTCAAACCCCAGTCCCACCAAAAAAATGAAAACCACAATGCAGAGCATGGTGGTACCTGCCTGAAAATACAATCCTAGCACTCAGGAGGGCTGAGTAAAGAGGAAGACCACAAGTTGGAGGCCAGCCTGGGGCTACATTTAAAAAAAAAAAAACAAAAACTATTTGTAAGGGGTTAGCTGGGGTTGGAATCAACTATAGCCTGCTTCCAGATAGACTGTAAGGTCCATGTTATCTCCCCTGAGTGCAGTTTCAAGAGACAAGGAACCAACTGCCCTGCTAACTTTCCATACTAGTCTCAAGAAGAACCTGAACCAGCTTCTGGGCATCAATCACAGCAAATTAGAAGGCAACAAATGGTCCTAACATCATTGCTCTGGGAGTCAGAAAAACACAAAAATGATTACTGTTCTTGACCACTGAGCTCAGTAGAACCTTCCCATCCCAGAGTACTCCTTACCTTATATATTAGAGCTGAGAGAGAAGGATCCCTGCCGCCCCCTCGCCCACCGGGGATCTTCGACAGTGGGTGAGGGGCATCAGGAGCACCACAGAGGCCCCGGAACAATGTGCCTGCAGCACTGGAGCTGGGGACAGTTACTCAAAGGCAAAATACTACTGCAAGACACAAAGAAGGTAAGACAGTAAACACCAAGACCTGAAGATTTAACCCATATCCTACCGCAACCCTTGCCCTGGCTCTCCCTAAACAAGCATTCTAAGGCTACACCCTGCCCCTGAAGCCCTTTTCTGCTTCAGCTTCCAGAAATGCTACTGCTCTCTTGAATGAATCCATCACCCTGAAAAGGCATAAAGAATCCCAGAAGGGCAAAGACAGTTCAGCTGGAAGGCTGACCAGAGAAGTACCTATGACACATCCTCAAACCAAACTCTGGCAGTGGGCTTATCTTGGAAGGAACCAGATCATGGCTTGCCTGCTAGACCTCCAGCCTTGTGCCCCCAACCAGACTCCTTAACCCTTCAGTACCTCAGCATCCTATGTAATACAGTCAGAAAGAAGAGGGGAGGTAGATGGGCCTCAGGAATTATACAGACTAGGTAATATGTACCTGAGGAGCTCCCAAGACCACTTTCGCAGTGACAGCCCCATTCTACATCTGAGCAGAGGAACAGAAATGAGAAATAACTTACCCAATTCACTGTAGAATTAACAAGACTAAATCCAGGATTTGGATCCCAGAACAGGGATGTGCCTTCCTACATAGAGTATTAGGGTGTCTGAGTTTGCCCCTGTCCTCTATTAAATGCTGGACCTCCCTGCCCTTCGCTAGTCCCTCTATGTCCTGAGCATGAAAATGCAGGTAATGTTTATGTGGTCAGACACTCAGATATGTGTGTGGGAAAGGGTGCTGTTTCCTGAGAAAGGAAGTCAATAATCAGATGGATCATAGAGGACAAAAAGCACCTATAGGAGCTCCCAGTCATCTCCAGGTGGTACCCTTACTAGCCACCATGGTTTTCAGGTAGACCCAACAGGGCTCCAAATCTGTCCCACTGACTTGAGTCTGACCCCAGGCCAAGGTTAAATGAAGCAGGGAATAAAGTAAATGTGCATGTACACCATGACTCAGCAACAGGCCTGTCCCATATCCACAACACACCAGCCTCAGGGTAACTAGAAGGCAGTGAATATGAGTGTTGCAGTACACAGTCTCCCCTGTTACGTGTTTAATAATATCATATTGGTAGCTTAAACCAGCCCAGTGGGGAGTATTTACAGAAACCAGCAAGTGCTGTAAATTGGGGCTTTTTCCCCCTGAAATGTTGTGAGGTAACCATTCTTCACATGGTCCTTTGCTTGATATATCATAGCATGCCAATTTTGGGCTCTTATAAGAGCACAATCTGAACATGGCTATAGGCAAAATAACCAAAGGGACAGCCTACTTAGACCCTCACTACTAACAGACCTATATCAGCATTCTAGTAAGACGGAGGAAGTCCAAACACATCACCACTTAGCTGTTTGCTCAAGGGATTTCAACTGGGAGCCTGAAAGTGTATTTGGATATTTCTTTGGGAGCATTCCATGGACCTGAAGCAGCATCAATATCTGGGGATGATAAGCATATGCCCCACCTCCTACCTCCTCTGCAAAACCTTAGGGCATCCTTATCTCCTCTACTCTGGCCTTCTCAACAGCTACCTATAGAAAAGGTATGACATAAAACTATGTTGCTATTTTCAAGGACTGGAGTTTATTTTCTGCTGGGGACAATGAGCTGTTATGATTTACCCTTCCAAAGTGTTAGGGGGCAGAATAATCGTGTCCAGGCTAGAAAACAGACAATGGTGAGACGTTTTCACATACATACCCCACAAGATGGTATTCCCTTCTCATTCCCCTGTGACCACTTTTAGGTTCCTCCAGAGGCACCAGGAAGACTGGGCCCCTGGAGAAGCTAGCTTGCTTACAATGGTCAGCAGAGCTACTCAAGGACTGGGCAGATCCCCTCTGGGATAGACAAATGAGGTATTGCCTGTACACTAGAATTGCTTGGGTTCACAAAACTAAAGCACCGAGGTCCTGGTAATTCTGATCCCAGACTCTAATTTTCAAAGGAATTATACCTCAAACCATCTTTACATGAGTGAGCTACACTGACTAATTTGCACTTTGAAACAGCAGAAGAAATGGGGGCAATCCCCAAAAAGATGAGAATATACTGGGGGGGAGGGTTCCTAAAAATCTTCCATGGAGCTGCCCAGTACCCAGCTTACAATATTTATGGTTTCCTGATCTCTCTTTTTTCAAATAAATGCCAAGAAGTCCATGCCATGGTACTAAATCATTTACTTCCCTACTCTCGCACATAAGGGTCTTTGAGACGCTTTGCTGAGCCATAAAGTCTAATGTGTGTGCATGTGAATGGAGGGGTGGTTCTGGTTCCCACTGGGATCCAGTTCCAATTCCCTGGGAGCAAGAGCTAGGATTTAGGATAAGCTTAGTAGACAGTAAATCACAATGCTTATCTTCCTTCATTGTCCATTAAAAAGCATCTGTGATTAGTTAACTTGCAGTGAATAGCAAATCTCTTTACTTTCAAAACACCTGATCATTTCTGACATGAAAGGAGGGAGGATGGGTGGTTAAAGAAATAAAACGGCATAAAATTGCCCAGCAACAGCCTTCTCTTCTAATACTGACTCTAGGTTCAAATAGTATTACAGCAAAATATGCCACCAACCTCATTAGGAATAGGGAATCCTGGAAGAGTAAGTACAAGAGAATGTGGTTTCTAAACACAAGTCTTCTGTCACAAACTGGTTTCTAACCAGTCCTTTCTCACATCCTGGCTCCTCTACTGGGGGACAGGTATGGCTTAATCCCTACCACCAAAAGACTGATTAAAGCAGCTCAGTCCAGAGGCTGAAAAGATCAGGCTGATTAAGGGAAGTCAGATGTATCAGACTAAACCCAAACATCCAGCTGGGATGGTCCTGCTTTTGGGGAAGAATAGACCATGCTGGAAATGTGGCTGTCAGGTATCCAGCATCCACGGCAATTCAGAAGAGCGATGCAAAATTAGAGCCAATCTGTTAGTGCCTTTATTTTCCCAGCTGTTAGGAGTGCTACCTTCATAGCATTCTTCCACCTCTTACTAAAGGCTTAGCTCAGTGGTTCAGTGCCTGCTTAGCATGCATGAGGCCCTGGATTCAATTCCCCACACCGCAAAAATAAGTCATCTATCTGAGATGTCCTTTAACAGGTCATAATTATCTTGATAAATATCTTCTGTTCAAGAATCACTTCCAGGGCTTAGCATGCACAAGACCCTGGGTTCGATCCCCAGCACCTCAGGGGAAAAAAAGAAAAAGATACAAAAGATATCTCACTCCCAGTTGACATTTCCATTTCTATATTTAGTTTGCTCAAAGCAGGGTAAGGTCCAATCATAACAAATTTTTTAGTTCAAATTTTCTGATTAGGTTAAGATCATGTTTCACTTTAATCAATGGCCTCTTCAACCCATTCAAGTCAGCACCCTTTTCTCTCCTTTCTATTATTATCTGTCAGACGGGATTAAGTGACCTTGGTATTTTACCCACCTTTGGGTTTCAAATGAAAAGACCCAAAAGCCACATTTCCAGCATTCTCCATTTCCTTTTTTTTTTTTTTTTTTTCCTCTGTGGGCCACTCCACCACCCCATTTTTGTGATAGTTTTTTTTTTTTCTTTTTTGAGATAGCATCTCAAAAGTTATCTGTCCATAACTGGCTTCTAACCCCAATCCTCCTGATCTCTGCCTCTTGAGTAGCTAGGATTACAGACATAAGCCACTGGCTCCATTTCCCTTTCTTAATCTCTTCTGATCCATTCACATCTCAGGTCCTGCCTCACAGAAAATTTAGAGCACCCTCACTTCCTTGCACAGGCTCTTTTTACTCTGAGACTAGGAATATTCTCTGATGACTAATCCTTACATAAAGGGAGACTAATCCAGGGCTACCATCGCATTTAGCAAAAAAGAAATAGGAAGAAAAGTGGGAGGTGATGGCCACCTCCCGTCTAGTGTGATCAAAGGCTGAATTCCAGCTGTCAATTTCCCTTTCCATCTGAGAAAGAGCCCTGGGTAGATGCCAGACATAAATCATTTCACTAGAGCTGTTATGTGTTCCAAAGGGAGTCTACTTGCTAAGCATGGTTACAAGAAAATGACATCATCACTCTGAATCATAGGCTGAAAGCAAAATTGGGTTTTGGTTGATTCTCCCACAAGAAACATACATATGATGGCAACTAGAATATCTGTGCCTGAGGTTTGCTAATAACACCACTGATGATATCTCTTTTGCCAAAAGCAAGAACAACCACATATGCTACCAAAGGTAGCTGGATGGCTAGGTAATCATGCTTTAAAATAAAACCTGAATTTTTATATCAAGTACTTTTTTTTTTTTTTTTTTGGGTGGGTCTGAGGTTTGAACTCAAGGCTTCACACTTGCAAAGCAGGTGTTCTAATGTTTGACCCACACCTACAGTCCATTTTGCTCTGGTTATTTTGAAGATGGGGGTCTTGTGAACTATTTGCCCAGGCTAGCTTCAAACCTCGATCTTTCCGATCTCAGCCTCCCATGGAGCTAGGATTACGGGTGTGAGCCACTGGCACCTACCTATATTTACTTGAATCTAGTTTATGTTATAAACTCATCACAAATCCAGCCTCCCCTCCAGAATTACATCATTGTTTATGTAGTATCAAAGGCCTAGTAAATTTTCTTAAGGCTTAAGAAAGCATGTTCTGCTGCTGCTGCTCCTAAAAAAAACCAGGAAACTACCTGTCTTGTTCACTTCAAGTAACAAAATTTTTGCTGATCTACTCGGCCATTTCTGGTCAACAGTTTTCAATTAGCCTTCCAAATCATGGCACTAACTTGAATCAACACTGCATATTGCTTCAAAAAGGGATGAATTACTCACTTTATTTTCTAGAAATGCACATTTGTAACATCCCTCTACCCAACTCCTAAGTCCCCTTTTTTAATCTATCTGAGCAGCTATGAGGCTAAATTTGGATTTCTTGGCAGAATGAGGAATTGCTATTCTTAGTTCACACTGCTTTCTGAAGCATACCTCTAATTTGGGGGGATTCCTGACTATACTAGGAGTTTCTCTCCTTTTTCTTTCTCACCCCCTCCTCCAAGGTGACCTTGAAGGCACATCTTAAGAAATCTCTACCCCAAATTCAAGAAGCAACAGCCAGGTTGGGTGCTGGTGGCTTATGCCTGTAATCCTAGCTACTAGGAAGGCAGAGATCAGGAGGATGGTGGTTCAAAGCCCGGGCAAATGATTTTCAAGACCCTATCTCAAAAATACCCAACACAAAACAGGGCTGGCAGAGTGGCTCTGCCAGCCTAGCAAGCGTGAAGCCTTTAGTTCAAACCCAAGTACCACCAACAAAAAGAAGCAACAGCCAATAGACAGAGAATAACCAAAACCAAATTCCATTACCCAGGAAAACCATTCAGTCGAAGATGTTGTCTTGTGCCCTGCCCATCCCTCCCCGCAAAAAAGAAAAACCACCTATGAAACAAAATGCTTCTCCCCAAAGTTCATCAGCAAGCACATAGGTTAATTATATGACTACCA